TATATATCTGAATTGAGATTAGTGGATTGGCCAGACATTTTCTTTTTCTCATTTCCAGTAAAAATGTTTATGTATTTAATTATTGAGAGAAGAATCTTCTAAGTTTGAAGCATAGTTTTCTGTAGAAACAGAATGTCAGAAGCCAATGAACTGAAGCAATGTTTAAGGAGCTTGGCTAATTAGTTTTGTTTTAATTTGAAGCATTATGCTTTTCCACACCTCAGTTTTTCCTGGTTTTTTTTATTTTTTCATTTTTTTTGGTACTAGGGAATCGAACTCGGGACCTTGCACTTTAAAGGAAGGCGGTGGAACCACTGAGCTAAATCCCCGGCTGTTTTTTCTGTTTTAGGAGGGTAATAATACTCCATTTTCTCCTTATTAAGTCAATGATGTTTGACAACTTATTGTTCATTTAAATCATTGACTTTACAAAGAAAATGGATAGTGAAAAATTCTGTTTATAACATTTATTGGTGGGCTAGGGATTTAGCTCAGTGGTTCCACCGCCTGCCTCACAAGCAGAAGGACCCGAGTTCAATCCCCGGTACCAAAAAAAACCCAAAAACATTTATTGGTTTAAAGTAGCTTTATAATCTATATTAACTTTTACTTTTTCATTTATCTTATTCTTTTTCTATAACCAGGTGCTATACTTGTATTTTTACCAGGACTAGCAGAAATCAAAATGCTGTATGAACAGCTACAGTCTAATTCTCTTTTCAACAACAGACGTAGCAATCGGTAAGCTGCTTCCATATCCTTAACCGTCCATTGCAGTTATCTACAAAACTGCATAACAGAAGGGCCTCATTACAGTCTTTAGCCTCTGTAGTGTTTCCTCAAGCGTATGTTTATGCCAGATGGAAATGCATGGACCTGCTTGCTTGGAGAAATCAGTTATTCCATTCCATCAAAGATACTTTTCTTCACTTAGCATAAAGACTCAGCAAATTTGCATGTAATTCTAGTTGCCAGATTCCTGGGAGGAGGCAAACCCAGCATTAGGAACAACAAAGAAGTGCTACCATTTTGAGAGAAAATAATTTTCAAATGCTATTTTAGTAACATGGCACACTGAGTATATACTCACATCTAGAGGGAAAAATTAGCTAACAAATGAACATCCTCTAGAAATAAGAAGGAAATACCTTACATCATTGTCTTTGCCTCTCTCTGAATTATAAGGTAGAGGAAAGATCATTCTTTGCTAATCAGTGTGCTCTAGGTTTGTTACTTGTAGAATATTAATTCTTTATTCCCTTTGACTCTTTACTTTTTTTTTTTTTTTTTTGACTATTTACTATTTTTCCCAAGTTGGTTCCAGATTTTTAGTTCCCAGCTAAGGAGCAGAAAGAACTTTCCCATGTAGAAGAGTTGGACTTGAGGACTGATGCACAGAAGCTGAATTCATGTTGGGAATTTTAATAGAAATTCACCCACTAGAATCTAATATCAAAAAAAAAATGCAGTAGAATCTAATTTCAGTGCTTTGTGTCAGAATCCTTAATGTGTTTTCATTTCCTTTCAGATGTATTATTCACCCACTTCACTCATCTTTATCCAGTGAAGAGCAGCAGGCTGTGTTTATAAAACCTCCAGTAGGTGTAACTAAGATTATAATTTCCACCAACATTGCTGAGACGTCCATAACCATTGATGATGTTGTATATGTCATCGACTCTGGGAAAATGAAAGAAAAAAGGTATTCTCTTTTGCTGATATAACAGATGGGGTAAAGATGCTTCATTTAGGGTGACACAGCTTTTACTGGCTGATGCTAATGTACATGCATTACTTTTTTTTTGTAGCGGGAATAGAACTTGGGACCTTTCACTTGCGAGGCAGGTGGCAGAACCACTGAGCTAAATCCCTGGCCCACTTGCATTACTATTTTTAAAAATACTTCATGAAAACAGATTGTGGATATATGAGTGATTCTGTAACCAAGACCATGAATCTTAAAGTCAAACAAGAATGTAAAGTTAAAAGTTTTAACCTTGGGCCGGGGATTTAGCTCGGTGGTTCTGCTGCCTGGCCAGCAAGCGCAAGGACCAGAGTTCGATCCCCAGTACCAAAAAAACAGAAAAGTTTTAACCTCGGAAGTAATGAATTTTTCTTATTTTTTTATTTGATTTTATATATGCTTGGATGAAAAGAGTTGTCCAAAGAAACTATGTTGTGGGCCCTGATGCCATTTAAATTGACACTGAGTCCTCCCACCAGGAACCCATCTGTCCTAGGACACACAGGGCACTGCATCCTTCTAGAGAAGAAATGTGGCCATCTCAGCCACATTTTTTAAAACTAGCTCAATATTTCCTTTCCCTTTACAGATACGATGCCAGCAAAGGGATGGAAAGTCTAGAGGATACTTTTGTATCTCAGGCCAATGCTCTGCAGAGGAAAGGTCGAGCGGGCCGTGTTGCCTCTGGGGTCTGCTTCCATTTATTCACCAGCCATCACTACACTCACCAGCTGTTGAAGCAGCAGCTGCCAGAGATACAGAGAGTGCCGTTGGAACAGCTGTGTCTAAGGTCACATCTTGAGTTTTGTATTCTGCTTCCAAGATGTCTCTCACCCTATTTCGTTTTGTTTTCTTTTTTCCTATAGAAAACTTTTTTTGGTGGGGGAGGAGGGTACGGGGGATTGAACTCAGATCCTTGAGCTTGCAAAGCAGGTGGCGAAACCACTGAGCTAAATCTCTGGCCCCTATAGAAAACATTTTGCTAAGAATGGACATTGAGGAATTCATTCATTTGCAAAGAAAGAGCTCTTCAGAGTGGCCTTTATCATTCCTTTTAACTTTCCATACCTAGAAATCTCTTACATTGCAGAGCATGGCCCTAAAATAGAGCTCAATAACATATTTGTAAGTTAGGAAAACAAAACAATCAAACTTGTAGGTCATGGTGGTGCACACCTATAATCCCAGAATTTGAGAGGCTGAGGCAGGAGGATCACTGAGTTCGAGGGCTGCCTTGTCTCAAAAAACAAGGGCCAGGAATTTAGCTCAGTGGCACTGCACCTGCCTTGAAAGTACAAGGTCCTGAGTTCAGTCCCCCAAAACAAAAAACGAAAACAATCAAACTTACCAAGAATTTCTGCTCTGGGCAATGCCAATATCAGATTATCCTAGGGAAAAATAGGATTTAATAAGTGAATCAATTGATTGATTTGATCAAATGATCATTTTTTTGTGTGTATGTGTGGTGCTGGGGACGGAGCCCAGGGCCTTGTGCATGCTAGGAAAGTCCTCTGCCACATCCTTGAGCTACATCCCTAGCCCTTACCAAATACAATATTATCAAGGCTGGGGAATCTTTAATTCAGCCTTTCTTGAAATTGTACTTGGCAATATATAAGAACTGTAAAACTGTCCTTGCTGTCTGACCCAGTCATTACCTTGAGAAAGTATGCACACACAAAAATAACCCAAAAAGGGGAAAAGTACATATACAAAGATGTGTAACTCTGCTTTTATGCAGTAGGTATAACTGTAAGAACCTTCTATTTGCCAGGCATTGGGCTAAGCACTGTAGGGTTCAAGAACAATGTGTCCATGTCAAGTCTTAAGAAATTGGGAGCCAGGTGTGATACCCCGAGCCTATGATTTCAGCACTCAGGAGGTTGAGACAGGAGGATTCCCATGAGTTCAAGATCAGCTTGGACTACATAGTGAGTTTAAAGCCAGCCTGAACTACATCGCAAGACCCTGTCTCAAACCAAAAAAAAAAAGTAAATTTATATGTATATAAGTTGACAACTTAAGGAATTGTAAGTGAAGTAAATAAAATATTGTGTGTATTTTTTTTTCTTTGCGGTACCAGGGATCAAACTCAGGAACTTGCACTTGCAAGGCAGGTGCAGTGCCACTGAGCTAAATGCCTGGCCCTGTATGTGTTGTATTTTTCTCTGCTGAAAAGTCACTGAAGTTCATAATACAAAATGCTAGTCTTTTTACTTTTTTTTTTTTACTTTTTTTTTTTTTTGGTACCAGGGATTGAACTCGGGTCCTTGCACTTGCAAGGCAAGCGACAGAACCACTGAGCTAAATCCCCAGCCCAAAATGCTAGTCTTTTAAAATCCATCACAAGACATAATGTATATTAATTTTAGAAACAATGTGAAATTGTAAGTATGAGAAAGAGTAAGTGGATGATTTGAAATTTTTCATAAATACCTTTCATTATATATCAGTCATAACCAAGCTAATCATTTCCAGTTTTTATTGTGATAATACTTTACCATGAGTTCTTCCTCCTTAGTAAATATTTGCTTTTGTTTTGTTTTGTATTGTTTTGTTTTTGCAGTACCCGGGATCAAACTCAGGACCTTGCACTTATGAGGCAGGCGTGGTGCCACTGAGCCCTTGGCCCCCTTAATAAATATTTAAGTGTATGTCTTAGTCACTTTTCTGTCACTGGACACAGTACCTGACACCCACAACTTAACAACTATCTCCCTTGGCAATGAAAAAGCTGCTAAAAGGCTACATACCTGATTTCCAATTTTAATTGATATTTCCAGTGATGTCATATTCTTTGGATTTTCTGTAAAACATTAGTACACACTTCCTCCAAACCATATCTACTTTCTCTAACTGTGATAACTATGATGTCTTCAGGCAAAAACTTGTTTAATTGGATCTTACAAGAGCCATGAATTCAGTACTTTGGGCTGACTTTGGCTCACATGACTAGTAAAATCAAGAAGGAAAGATTTTCTTTAACTCACAGTTTCAGTGAATTCAGTCCATGGTCATTTGGCTCCAAGGCGGAAACTGCATGGTGGAACGTGTGATGGAGGAAAGCAAAGGAGAGCTATTCACTGCATGGCAGCCAGGTAGCAGAGAGAAAGGAGGAGCCAGGGAAGGAGCGACCTCTTCCAAGTAACAGCCCCAGTGGCCCACCTCTTCCAGATAGGCCCCATCTCCTAATAGCAAATTCAGCTATGAACACATCGATGGACTAATCCACTCATGAGGATAGCCCTACTATGATCCAGTCACCTTCCAAAAGCCCCACCTCTAACACATCAGGCTTTTGGAGGACATTGTATACAAATAGTATTTTAACTGTAGGCACAATCCTGTACAGTAGATCTCTTGAATGCAGGCGCATTACTGAAACTTAATGCCTGCAGAACAACTCCCCGACCCCCTCACTCCCAGCAGCTAGCAACCACCATTCTACTCCGCTTCTATGTGTTTACTGTAGATACTGCATATAAAGTATCATGCACTCTTTGTCCTGTGAGTTAGCATCATATACTCAAGGTCCACCCATGTTGTATATTGCACAGTTTCTTTCTTCTTTAAGGCTATTCTGTTACACTTATATACCATATTCCATGTACCATATCCCATTGTATTTAATATATCACATTTTCATCCACTCATCTGTCATTATATATTTATGTTATTTCCACATCTTAGTTATTAAAAATACTGCTGCAGCCAGGCGTGGTGGTGCACGCCTGTAACCTCAGCACTCAGAAGGCTAAGGCAGGAGGATCGCCGTGAGTTTGAGGCCAGCCTGGGCAAACACAGCAAGATCTATCTCAGAAAACAGACAAAAAATAATGCTGCAGTGAACAAGAGTGTGCAAATACCTCTTTGGACATTGATTGTACTTTTTTAGATGAAGTATACACAGAAGTAGGATTGCTGGGTAATATGATAGTTCTAATTTAATTTTCTGAGGCCTGTCTATTCTATTTTCTATTAGTTGATTCTGTTTTGTTTTGCTTTTTTGTACCAGGGATTGAACTTGGGTCCTTATGCTTGCGGGCAGGCAGCGGAACCACTGAGCTAAATCCTCGCCCCTTGTCTGTTCTATTTTCCATGGCAGCTGTACCATTTTACATTCCCACCAACAGCGGGTTCCAATTTCTCCACATCCTCACTAACACACCTTTTATCATTTAATCCTTTCGATAATTTAATTATATATATTTTTTGTGGTACCAGGGATCGAACTCAGGACCTTGCACTTGCCAGGCAGGTGCGGTGCCACTGAGCTACATCTCTGGCCCTTCTATTTGATAATTTAAACCCAACTGTTACAGAAAGAAGCATTTTGAAAGTTTATAAAAGGGATTTTATTATGAATATAAATACATTTCAGAATCTAAAAGTGTTTCTGTAGTCTATTGCTAGGAAAACTAGAAGAGATTTAAAAACAAATTTTTGGGCCAAGGATTTAGCTCAGTGGTTCCGTCACCGGCCTCGCAAGCACAAGGTCCCAAGTTCGATCCCCAGTGCCAAAACAAACAATAAACAAATTAATAAAAACAAATTTTACCCAAAAAACTATAAATAAATAAATAAGCAAAAACAAAATTTTTTTTGGTACTGGGGATCGAACTCAGGACCTTGCACTTGCGAGGCAGGGGCCAGAATGACTGAGCTAAATCCCCGGCCCAAGAATTTATTTCTTGAGTGAGAATAATTTTACAATTTCCCAGTTTTTGCCTTTATAAACCTTATAATGCTAGTTTAAATAAAAACTTTTAGGGGCTGGGGATTTAGCTCAGTGGTTCTGCTGCCTGCTTCACAAGCGCAAGTTCCCGAGTTCGATCCCTGGTACCAAAAAAAAGTATTCCATTCCACCAAATATAAAGTTGACGATTTATTGATTTGTTATTTTCAGAATCAAAATTTTAGACATGTTTAGCTCTCACAGTCTCCAGTCTGTGTTCTCCCGGCTCATTGAACCGCCACATGCAGATTCTCTCCGCCTCTCAAAAATACGACTACGAGACTTGGGAGCATTAACTCAGGATGAAAAACTGACCCCTCTGGGGTATCACTTGGCCTCTCTGCCCGTGGATGTGAGAATCGGCAAACTGATGCTATTTGGGTCTATCTTCCGCTGCCTGGATCCTGCGCTCACCATTGCTGCCAGCTTGGCCTTTAAGTCTCCTTTTGTAAGTAAGCAACATTCATCTAAACTGGAGTTTGTGTCAGAGAGCTCTAAGGGGTCCATGTGGGCTTCAGGGAGATGTAAAGTCCCTACAAATTTGCTTGTATGTTTGTTAGATATGAATTTTTAGGGTACGAAATCATCTGATCTTAAAAGAGATCTGTGCTCCAAATGAAGACTAAGAACTGGAGAGTGAGATGTAGTGGCACACATCTGTAATCCCAGCCCTCAGGAGACTGAAGCAGGAAGTGTGCTGTGAGGTCAAGGCCAGCCTGGGCTCCATAGTGAGACCCTGTCTCAAAAAAAAAAAAAAATTATTTAAAATAATGTGCTTTTTATTTATTTTATTTTATTTTGGTACCCAGGATTGAACTCAGGACCTTGTGCTTGTGAGGCAGGCGGTGGCACCACTAAGCTAAATCCCTGGACCGTTGTGCTTTTCATTATATCTACTATACTTGCTCATTATAGCAAAATCAAAAAATACAGACCAACAAAAAATACCCCTGCATGATTTTAAAAGTCACAAATACAAGGTTGGGAATTTAGCTCACTGGCACCTCACCTGCCTCACAAGCACAAGGTCCTGAGTTCAATCCCCAGTTCCAGGGGGAAAAAAAAAGACATAAATACATTTAACACTTTATATGTAGGTTTAGTTTGTGCTTCTTTTTCTAGTCTCTTAAAGCAGAAGATTAGGTTATGGTTTTGAGTTTTGGGGGGTGTTTTTTGGTACCAGGGATCAAACTCCAGACCCTGTGCCTGCAAGGCAGGCGGCAGCACCACTGACCCAAACCCCCGGCCCTAGGTCATGGTTTTGAGATCATTCATCTGTGTGTGTGTGTGTGTCCTGGGAAAGCTATATATCTTGAGCAATTTACTTAACATATGAATCTTAGTTTTCTTTTGTTTCTGTTTATTAGTACATATTTGCTCTACATGATTACAGTCATCATGGAGATTTGGTACATGTACATAACACATCTTTATTCTTTTTCTTCCTTTTCCTGTTCACTCCCTCCCCCTTGCCTCCATCTCTAGTTCCCTTTCTCATTTACAGAGGATCTATCTCCCTATGTCATATTATCCTTTATTTTACTTTTTAAATTTTTTTTTTGGTACCAGGGATCAAACTCGGGTCCTTGCGCTTGTGCAGCAGGCAGCAAAACCACTGAGCTAAATCCCCAGCCTCTTTTTAAATTATTTATACTTCAAGTTTCTCATACAAGAGGAACCATATGCTATTTATGCTCATGTCTGATTTATTTCGCTTAAAATTGTAATTGCAAGGTGCATCCATTTTTCCACAACTGACTCGACTTTATCCTTCCTTCCGGCTTAGTACCCCATTGTGTATGTATACACCACATTGTCCTTAGCCACAGTCTGGTGATGGCCATATGGGTCACCTCCAAGGCTTAGCTTTTGTGAATTGTGCTGCTATTAGCATGGATATGCATGACTCACTGTCACATGATGTCTTTAAGTCTTTCAGAAAGTTCCCTGAATGGGACCAGCTGGGTCAAACAATTTCCATTTTTAGTTTTGAGGAATCTTCATTCTGATTTCCACAGTGTTTGTACTAGTTTACATTCCCCCCAGTAATGTAGATGAGTGTCTTTTTCCCCACAGCCTCACCAGCATTTGTTATTAGTTGATTTCCTGGACTTTCTACCAATGAGCGACACCCTAATCACTCATTTTCCTCTTTATTTCTTTTGTGACTCATTGGTCACAACACAGTAGGCATGTGTTGTTTAACTTTCACGTATTTGTGAGTTCCTTGATTTTTTTTCTTGTTATTTCTAATTTCAGTCCATTGTGATCATAGGACATAGTTTATATTATTTCAGCCTATTAAAATTTATTGAAGCCTGCCATAGTGGCTCATGCCTGTTATCTCAGTACTTGGGAGGCTGAGGCAGCAAGATCACTGGAAGTTCAAGGCCAGCCTGGGCTACATAGTGAATTCAAGGCCAGCCTAAATTGCATAGCAAGACACTGTCTCAAAAAAACTAAATAAATAAAAACTTATTGAGCTTTGTTTTATGGTCAAGCATGTAGTTAGTTCTTCTAGAGTGTTCCACATGCACTTCCTGGGTATTCTGCTGTTGTTGGGTAGAGCGTCAATCAACCTTTATTTTTACCATGGTTTATCTCATATAGGAAAGAAATAGACAGACATATTTTCTCCAGTTTTTAGTGTTATACTTCACAGAATTGTAAACACACGGATGTGCAAAAGGATCTTAGTCCAGCTCTTTCATTTAGCAGCAGATGATAAAACAGCTCCTGCGGGGGTGACTGCCCTTGCTCAGAGACCATTAGCATCAGCGGTGTAAGCAGAAGCTCCACTGCCTGTTTCTCAGATCATCTCAAGAAACGTCTCTATTTTCTTTTACTGGCGTATGGAGAGAGTCACTGGAAATGTCGATGTTCTCATTAGCCACATCCAAGCCCCTGACCCTGCTAGGCTCTGTAAACATAGTGTTAAGCTCCCACGTGTAATCACTGGCTTTCCTAAAAAGGAAAGAATTTTACTTTCCAGTAGAAAATAAAAGTTTGTTGCTGCTTTGTTACCTGTAAAGTTATTCGACCATACAAAAGTTTGAGGGAAGTTGGTTTCAGATGGTTTCCAGTGGTATTGCAGCAGCAAGGGCCCTGGTGTATGTAGCTCACTCCTACTGGCATCTTCAGAGCCTGAGAAAAAATAGAAACATTGCTGGATTAACACTACAGAAATACAGGGAAACATTGCTTCTGGGTAGAAGCTGACGATATTCAAATATAAAAGATGAACAAGATCTAAAATAGCACTTGCAAGGCCCTGGCCAGCATCAGTGCCCAGCACTGAAAAGAAAAAGAAAAATAACTTGTAAAATAAAGATACCACAAAGGTAACAGAATTTTTTTTTTTTGAGACAAAGTCTCGCTATGTAGTTCAGACTTGAACTCCCTATGTAGCCCCAGCTGGCCTCCAATTTGTGGGGATCCTCCTGCCTCAGCCTCTCAAGTGCTGGGATTACAGGCAAGTGCCACCATGCCCGGCTGTCGAGAATTCTTTATTGTAGATACAGTTTTTAGACTGAGTAGCTCTTGGATGACTCTTACCACATGGCACTGGAAGGCCCAGAAGAGCTCATTCTGGGTGGGCAGACAGACGTGGGACAGAAAAGACCTTAGCTTGCTGGTACCACCTTGCCTGCCATCACCCGGTCGAGCCGCTGAAGATGCATTGTTCCACAGCTTTCCCAAGACAGCTGGCTTCAGCAATAGGAAACCTCATATAAAATGTGTCCTTCAAATCCAGTTTTTCCCCCTTAGGTATCTCCCTGGGATGTAAAAGAGGAAGCTAACCAGAAAAAGCTGGAATTTGCATTCGCAAACAGTGATTATCTGGCCCTTCTCCGAGCATATAAGGTCAGTGGGTAACCTAATACACATCTTAAACGTTTATTACCAGAGTTGGCCCTAAATTCAGAGTCAGTTCAGTTTGATTTTCTCCAAAATTTAGGGGTGGCAGCTGAGTACAAGAGAAGGCATGCATGCAAGTTATAATTACTGCAGACAGAACTTCTTGTCGGGAAGAATTCTGCAGGTGAGTTTGTTTCCGTGGCAGTTTGTTTTCATTCATTTTCCACTGTAGTTAGTTCACAAGAGGGCATGCTGATCTACCTCCCAGCCCTTTTTATTTTTTTGAGACAGGGCCTCACAAAGTTGGGCAGGCTGGCCTCAAACCTATGATCTTCCCGCCTCATTCTCTTGAGTAGCTTGGGATTACAGGCGTGTGGCATCACACCTGGCTATAGTTGCCCTATCTTGATATCAAAAATATTATTTCTGGAATATGCTTGGTTTTTGCAGCTGTGTAAATAGACTTCTGAACTGTGCCGTTAGGCCCTTGTCCTGAAACTTTCAGCTGACTTGTTTTTGCTTTCTGGTGAGGAATGTGTTTTCTTCACATGGACAAGAGTAGAATATCAGGGTGGTGAAGATTACGTCTCACTGGAAGTCAGTTTTCTCAGTGTTGATACCAGGGATTTTTAACCTCCATGCATAAACACCTGAAAAGTGTGGGTATTATTCTGTAGAGAGAGGTGCCAGCTCTCATGAGATTCTCAGAGGTTTACTCTCTCCTCAGAGCCAAAGAACTAATACTGAGCGAGATTTGATTCATTTGTCTTGTGTCCATTAGAAACTACTATGTACCAGTAGTGAATGTCTGAGAGAGAAAGGTTTATTGTCTTCTGTGTAGTAACAGACAGGGCTTCTTTTCGCTGCTGTGGCAGTGTTTTAGCCCTCCTTCCAAAGTGGTCTGAGAGCTAAAATAATGATGGTGCACATCTCTCTCAGAGCTGCTGGGGCTGTGAAGGGGATGGACTTTAATGTTGTATTACACATTTATGTGTCATATTATACACGGACTGGACCATAAAACCAGTAATAGGCTTAGTACTTACTGCTACCTGACATCATTTCTCCCTCTCTGTCCCATGAGTCCATCACAGCAGAGTCTTTTTCTGTATCCCCAGTGCCTAGAACAGTGCTTAGCACATAGTGGGCACTCAGTCATGAGTCACTGAATAAATACATACATGAGTGAATTTGGTCATTTAAGAAGAAACCTCAAGACCACCGCAGTATTTGCCTTCATTGTCCTCTGCCTTTACATTTACTACAATGAGATATTTTGAAAAGACAAGAGCTCTAGCTTTATTCTAAGTACATTAAAAGCCGTAATTCTCAAGCCTCACTGACAATGAGATTCTTCTGAAGAGATTGAAAAAATAAGTATAGGGCCGGAGATGTGGCTCAGTGGCACCGTGCCTGCCTGGCAAGTGCAAGGTCCTGACTTCAATTCCTGGTACTAGAAAAAAAAATGAGAAAGTAAGTAGGCTGGCATGGTTTTGGCATGGTGGCACTCACAGTCCCAGAATTCTGGGAGGCTGAGGCAGGGGGATTGCAAGATCAAACCCAGCCCAGGCAACTTAGCAACTTAGTGAGACTTTCTCTGAAACTTTAAAGGGGTTGGTGGGTGGAGATGTATTTCCGTGTTAGCTCAGTCTCCAGTACCACAAAAAAATTTAAAATAGTAAACAAACATAAATAAACCCAGGTCCTACCCAGGCCAATTAAATCTGGTGTCTGTTAATTGTCATTGTTTGATTTCCGAATTGAACTGAATAGGTACAGCAATATTTTCTCAAGTCTTTAACATGTTTAAGTATAAAAAATTGGGCTCTTTTATTTTATTCCTTTTTTTTTTTTTTTAGACAATCTCACAATGTAGTCAGGCTGATCTTGAACTCAAGATCCTCTTGCCTCAGCCTCCTGAATCCTCCAGTTACACTATCACTGCCAGCTAGTGTATATTTTTAAATACATTTTTTACTAAATTTATTCTTTTTCTTCAGGATATGTATAGATTTTGCTGTGCTCAACTAGTTCAAAAGTACCCTATTTTCATTAAACTCCAGTTTAGGTTTTGGGGTGGTTTTTTTTGTTTTTCTGAGTCAGGGTCTCACTGTGTAGTTCAGGCTGGCCTTGAACTAACTATGCAGCCCAGGCTGACCTTGAACTTGCAGTGATCCTCTGGCCTCTAAACTTAGAATGTAGGATTATTGGGCCGGGGATTTAGCTCAGTAGCACCAGGCCTGCCTCGCAAGCACAAAGTCCTGAGTTCAATCCCTGGTACAGAAAAAAAAAAAGGAACATAGGATTATTTTTACTAGGATCTAAAGCCAAGCATGGTGGTGTGTACCTGTAATCTCACGCAGCACTCAGCTGAGGCAGAATGATTGTGAGTTCAAGTCCAGCCTAAGCTACATAGCAAGACCCTGTCTCAAAAATAAAACAAAACTCAAAACCTCACTGTGAAATAGAAACTCTGATATGTTTAACCCTTGTTATGTTTTGCCATGTTATCCATGTGTACTTGAGACAGTCCAAGAAAATACTTAAATTGTCATCAAGAGACAGGGTAGGTGGCAGTGGTGGCACACACTTGCAGTCTCAGCTGCTCAGGAGGCTGCAGCAGGAGGATCTCAAGTTTGAGACCAGCATGAACAACTTAGTGAGATCCTGTCTCAAAATAAAAAATAAAAAGTGTTACATTGTAGCTCAGTCGTAGAGTGCTCCTGGATGGGTTCATCACTCAGTACCTTAAGAAAGAGAGAGAGGGAGACAGGATAGTGTTGCTTAATTTTCAGCTTCTTGGATTATCTCCCTGTCTGGTGTTTAATACATATCCTCTTTCGGCTTTGGCTTTTTGTGTTGCTGGGGGTTGAACCCAGGGACTCAGGTGTTCTAGCCATGTGTTGGGCTCCTGGCCCTTTTCTTTAAGAGCTGAGGCCTTGCTGTGTTGTCCAGGCTGGCCCTGGCTCCTGGGGCCATCAGTGTGGTGACAGCTGTGTTTGAGCAGAAGCCTCAAGAAAGAGATTACACTTTCCTTTCTCACACTGGTGCTCAGCTACAAAAAGCAGTGTATAAATCGAAACCAGTAACGTCACCATTCCTGGGGACGCCTGGGAGCCCCGGAGACCACAAGAGGGAAAGTAGCAGAGATCCAGGGAGAGAGAACTGAAGCCCTCTAGGCCCAGCTAAGGAACAGAGAGGACGAGAACAGAACTGCAAGCTGGAAAACTGGGTAGCAGACAGTAGCAGAGCCACAAAGAGTAAGCTACATTTTTTGTTGCCCTACGAATTTCAAGGAAACTTAGACCTACCCCAGCTTCAGTGAAAATGTTTAAAAACATGGGCCAGGGATTTAGCTCAGTGGTTCCACCGCCTGCCTCACAAGCACAAGGTCCCGAGTTCGATCCCTGGTACCAAAAAATAAAATGTTTAAAAATGTAATGGGGGCCCAGGGATTTAGCTCAGCGGTGCCGTCACCTGCCTCGCAAGCACAATGTCCTGAGTTCAATCCCCGGTACCAAAAAAAATACAAAAAGGGCCGGGAATTTAGCTCAGTGGTTTCGCCACCTGCTGTGCAAGCGCAAGGTCCCGAGTTCGATTTCCGGTACAAAAAAAATGTAATGAACAGTTAAATAAGTCATCCCTGAGGTTTTTTTTCCCTTTTTTTTTTTTTTCTTTAAAACAAGTCTCATATAACTCAGGCTGGCCTCGAACTCACAGTGATCCTCCTGCCTCAGCCTCCCAAGTGCTGGGATTATAGGTGTGAACCACCACACCCGGCATCCCTGCATTTTCTGACATTTTAAAATTTCTGTCTTTGTCTGCCAGTTTGTCTAAGTGGCAATTGCCTTTTTGGAAATTATCAGACCAGGGCATCTTCAAACCCATTTGACAAGTCTATACGTAGCTCGCTGCTCTCCACCAAAGTTGTATGGCTGTACAGCCACACACTGTTGTAAGAGCGGACACTCATCCTTGTATGTGGATGCCATTTCTTAAAGATTTTCCTTCTTCCAGGAAATTGCCAGCCTCAAACGACAGTTCACTGAACTGTTATCGGATATAGGGTTTGCAAAGGAGGGGCTCAGAGCAAGGGAAATTGAGAAAAGGGCCCAAGGAGGAGATGGTGTCCTAGACGCCACAGGAGAAGAGGTAAGGAATGTGTGGCTACTTCCTGTTTCTGTGTAATTAGAACGTGAATGATACATGAAATCAGAGACACTTGCAGATATTCTTCTTCACTTAAACCCACGAGCAGGAGGTTAGTGTGTGTTTGTTGGTTTGTTTATTTACAGATTGTTTGTTTGCAGTACTGGGGATGGAGCCCAGGGACTTCACACTGAACTACATCTCCAGCCCTTTTCTACTTTTTATTTGAGACAGGATCTCATTAAGTCACTAAATTGCTGGATTCAAAGTGGATCTTCCTGCCTCAGCTTCCCAGAGTGCTGGGATTACAGTTGTGTGCCACCACACCCAGTTTATGCAGTATTCTTGATTTTCTTCTTTCCAAAAATTTTTCAGCTAATGCTTGTGAAAATAGGAGAGTTTTTCTGTTCATTTTTGCTGTTTTTAATTTCACAGCGGTTCTTCATTAAAAAATAATAATAATAAGAGGCAGAGGATTTAGCTCAGTGGTTCTGGGGCCTGGCTCGAAAGCGCAAGGTCCCAAGTTCAATCCCCGCTACCAAAAAAAAATTAACAATAATAATAATAATACACTTTCTAGTACTGTTTCGCCAAACAGCCTAGCCATTTTCTAAACAAAAAAGTCTTTTGCATAATTAGGAAGAAAACTTCAAGATGAACTTGGTGCTCCCCTTTTCTAAGAGCAGTTAGGCTGGGTCGTGGTGGTGCAGGCCTGTAATCCTAGCACCTAGGAGGCTGAAGCAGGAGGATTGCCATGAGGAGGTTGGTTTGGGATACACAAGAGCCAGTCTCAAAAAAAAATAATAATAATAATACTAATAATAGCAGTTAGTATTCTGTAGAGATTCTGAAGGTCTCATGAGCCAGCATCTTTGTCTCCAGCAATACTAAGAGCACTGGCATCCCCAGGGCTCTGCTGAGGGCCCTGAGCTGCCTCAGTCAGCATGGAGCTGCCTTGCAGAGACCTAGAAAAAGTCCTGTGGGCTTCTCCAACTGGGTCTCCTGTGACTGTGGTCTATTAGATTTATTCTTCACAGGGCTGGGGATTTAGCTCAGTGGTTCCGCCGCCTGCCTCGCAAGCACAAGGACCTGAGTTCGATCCCCGGTACCAAAAAAAAAAATTCTAGTAGATTTATTCTTTACATAGAAATAATTTCTAGCAAACAGATAAAAATTAGATGTTCTTTTTTATTTTGTTTAAGTCAGAGATGAAATGAATTATAATAGTAAGTTTCAGAGTACACACTGAAATAGCTGCAATGCTTGGTAAAAGCGCTCCCAAAATTAATCCCCTATTTCTCTCATAGGCCAACTCGAATGGAGAGAACCCCAAGCTGATATCAGCCATGCTGTGTGCTGCTCTGTATCCAAATGTAGTGCAGGTAATAGAGCGTTTTTCCTGGGGACTCCCATTTCTTGTTGATTTGTAACCAAGGGATTTTACAGAGATACGGCCAGCTGATGGATTCACCAAATATATTCGGTACACATTTTCAGTCCTTTAATTCTCCTAGTCTGTATAAATATATCATTTAAGGACACACTGATTGTATAAAATTAGGTACCTTTTTAATCTTTCTGACATATTAAAACATTCCAGGAATTAGAGTGGACATAAATGTCAGTCCTGTGTATGATAATCTGTGTTAGGTAGAAACTTGACTCTTTTGTTTTGTTTTTGTTCTTTTGATATAGAGTCTTGCAGTGTAGTTCAGGCTGGCCTTGAACTCCTAGAAATCTCTCACCTTGGGCTCCTGAGTGCTAGGATGGCAGAGCAGACGTGGCCACCACCCCTAGCTGGAATCTTGATTCTATTACTATTTCCCTTGTGCCTTCTACTTTGAGCTAAAATTAGTGAGCAAATCAGTGCTTTGCTGGGGATCGCCCATGACCAGCCTTGTGGGGATCTTGCCTATCGATGTGTGCTTGGGACTTGTACCTCAGTTTTGATTATCCAGCTCTACTGACAGACAGTTCCAAACTTAGAAAGAATTTTAATTTTGCAGAGTACTAAATCATTTTTCAAGGCCTTAACTTTTTGTTAAATGGTCAGTTGAAATCTGATTATTTTAGGACTCAGTTGTCTGCTTAGTTCTTGCATGCTTTTCATACTGTTTGAAATTTGCTTTTAAAAATGATTTGACCCAGGCATGGTGTGCACGCCTGTAATCTCAGAACTCAGGAGGCTGAGTCAGGAGGATCACTGAGAGTTTGAGGCCAGCCTGGGTACATAGTGAGTTCAAGGCCAGTTTGAACTACATAGCAAGACCCTGTCTCAAAACAAACAACAACTACAACAACAAATGATTTCCATATAAATCTGCTGGTTTTGATATTTTATGGTTATGTCAGGTGTTACCATTGGCGGAAACTGGGTGGCCACAAGGAACACTATACTGTATTGCAACTTTCTTCAAGTCTATAATTATTTCATAATAAAAAGACTTAATAAAGGATATGGGGCAGCCAGGCATGGTAGTGCATTCCTGTCCCAGGACTCAGCAGGCTGAAAGCAGGAGGATTGCTGGGAGTTCAAAGCCAGCCTGGGCTACAAAGTGAGTTCAAAGCCAGCTTGAACTACATAGTGAGATACTGTCTCAAAAAAAAAAAAAAGATGTGGGAAAAATTCATATGGAAATTTAAAGTACAGAGACAAAAACCCTAAATGTGGTATAGAAATTTTAAATGACCAAAGAAAAAAAAGAAATTTTAGATGACAAGTAATATTATTTTGAGGCTAAGCAAAAAATAAAAAGTTAAAGGGCTGGGCATTTAGCTCGGTGGTTCCGCCGCCTGCCTCGAAAGTGCAAGGTCCCAAGTTTGATCCCCAGTACCAAAAGAAATAAATAATAAAAATTTTAAAATAAAAAGTTTAAAGTTCTGACTCTGTGTTTTTAGAACTCACCAGTAAAAGACTGAAAAACACCCCAAGATCTAATAGAAAAGTAGACATAAGAGCCGGGGATTTACCTCAGTGGTGCCGCCACCTGCCTCGCAAGTGCAAGGTCCTGAGTTCGATCCCTGGTACCAATAAAAAAAAGAGAGAGACATAAGACATGAATGAACATATAATGTAAAAAAAGAAAAAGGAAAAAGTGAAAAAAGAAAACCAAGCTGGGTGTGGTAGTGTAAGCCTGTAATTCCAGCACTCTGGTAGCCCGAGGCAAGAGGATTAAAGTTCAAGCCCAGGCTCTGCAATTTAAGGACTTAGCGAGACCCTGTCTCAAAATAAAAAGTGTTGGGGATGTATCTGTTTGAAGGCTATGGATTCAATCCCCAGTACTGCAAAACAAAAACTTCTTAGGGCCAGGGATTTAGCTCAGTGGTTCCGTCGCCTGCCTCAAAAGTGCAAGGTCCCAACTTCAATCCCAGATACCCCCCAAAAAAATACACTTCTCAGAACAAAAACTCCTTTTTCCCTTCAAATTGGCAGAATGGGCCGGGGATTTAGCTCAGTGGTTACGCCGCCTGCCTCGCAAGTGCGAGGACCTGAGTTCGATCTCTGGTACCAAAAAAGAAATTGGCCGAATTTTTAAACAATTACTACACACCCAACATAATCACTGTCACTCTGGTGGAAAATAGTAATGCGTACCCTCCAATATAGAAGTTTCATTTGTAGGATTTACTTCTAAGAAATAATTGCAAACATGGACACAGATACAGCCAGGAGAATTCAGCAGACAAATCTATATTTTTGGTAATGGAAAATGTATTGGTAAAATTAAAATGTACGTATAGTACTTACAGTGAATATAGCCCTTAAGAATTATGTTTTTGGAAAATATTGAACAGCACGGAAAAATGTTCTCAATGTGTTTAGTAAAAAATGGGTTACTTCAGTACATATGTATCTTTTTATATTCTTGTTTGCCTATAGTTTTCTCTTTCTGTATATAAACATAAATCTAGCAGAGGGCCAGGGATGTAGCTCAGCAGTACAGCACCTGCCTGGCAAGCTTGAGGCCCTGAGTTTGATTCCCGGTACCAAAATAAATAAATAAACAAACAAATAAATAAATAAATCTAGCAGAGAAAACTAAAATGATGTTTATCAATTAATGGTAGTTATTTCCTAATCACGTGATCACAGATTTTAGTTTGAGAGAGGTAGAGTTTGAGACAGGCTCTCACTATGTCTTAGACATGGTGAGACAGCTTAGACTGGCCTCGAACTCATTATGTAACCTAGAAGTTGGAATCCTACCTCAGCTTCCCAAGCACTGGGATTACAAGCAAGGACTACCATGCCTGGCTCTAAAATAAGATTTTTTAATATATTTTTTCAAATGAAATAATCTCTATATACATTTTTCATTGTGTGTATTTTTTTTTTTGGATTGTGTTTTAAAAGAAATAAATTTGGAAATGTTACATTGGGACTGAGATTGATGCTGAGACCCCTGGTCCAGTGTTTTGTTTTAGGTTTTCTTGGTACCAGGAATCAAACTCAGGGCCTTGTGCTTGTGAGGCAGGCAGCGGCACTGAGCTAAATCCCTGGCCCTCCCTGGTCCAGTCTTAACAGCTGGATCTCTGCACTGGAAAGTCAGTATAGATCTAAGACACCAACATAGTTGCTCTGCCCTGTGGTTGCTGTCTGCTCTAGTCACCCAGTACTATTGCACCTACCACATCTTGGTACTTTTAAAAAAAATAAGAAAAGAAAAAGGGTTCTTGTATTGTTTTCAAAAGAAAACAAAGTGAGTGAGAGAAGGAGGAAGTAGCAAGACTGGTTTATGCCATGGAACGAGTCCTGTAATGAGATATGCGTATATTACCATCTACTTTTTTACAAATATTTGTTGTTCAGGTGAAGACCCCAGAAGGGAAGTTTCAGAAGACCAGTACTGGAGCTGTCAGAATGCAACCAAAATCAACTGAGTTGAAGTTTGTCACCAAGAATGATGGCTATGTACACATTCACCCTTCGTCGGTGAACTATCAGGTCAGGACGGTGGTGTGTGCTTATATTCACATAAAACAGGTCCTAGGGAGAGAAATATACCCTAATTCAGCCAAACTCTACTTTAGCATTTACACTGCAGCAGTACCAATGACTTAGAGAAGGTTGCATAAGTATAAACAGCCTGGCAATTGGACTATTTCTGGAAAGACCATTGCCATTTCAAGGAAATTCTGCTGGATACAAAAAAGTTCTCAAGCCTGATTTCAGAAGTAAAAGTGTTTCTTTGCATTGGTGATGTAAGCAGTCATGAGCTAATTACATCACTGACCTATTCTTACCAATGCTTCTTTGGCTCTGTGCTTCCTTCAGCGTGCTACTGTGAGGTGCCTGACCCCCACCCCAGCACACCCAGCCTCATGAGTGGCCTACTCATTGTCACATCCAGAGGACATCACTTGGTCTTCATCACCTTTGCCTCTCACGTGGCATTTGACATTTCTGCCCTCCCTTCCTACACTGTACCTATACCCCCTGGCCCCTAAAGACACAACATCTTGATTCCACCTGCAATCTGCTTGCTGACGCAGACTCCAAAGCTGGGGTTTTCCCCGACCACTCCTGCTGCAGTCACCTCATACTCTACTTATTGTCTCCTGATTTATCTTTCTCTCTCTGTTCCCTATCTTGGAGTGTAGACTCTCCATATCAAAACAAGTCACAAGTCACATAGACTCCTTTTCTCCTTATTGTAATCCACTTGGTCACTAAGTCCAGGCAATACCACTCTTTTGACATCTCTAAGATTCGCCTGGTCCTCTCATCCCCACTGCCACTTCCTCAGATCAAACCCCAAACATCTGTCCCTTGTCCTGAATACTACAATAATCTTACTTCTGGTGCTGTCCCCTACTGTCTGCGTTACTGCAGCCAGCATTATTTTTACAAAACATGCACTTGACCATGTCAGTCTCTTGCATAAATGTTCATATATAGAATGTACCTGACCCTTCATGTCAGGCCCCTTCCTATACCACGTCCTGCACAATCCCTCCCTCTAGCATTCTGTGTGGTCCAGCAATACCAGACTACCATGGTGTTCCCTAGCCAGGACATTGGACATTCTGTTTCCTGTGCCTGGAGTGACATTATCATTCCCCAGCAAGCTCCTACCTACCCTTCAAATTTCCATTAAGAATCATTTCCCCCAAAAAAGAATCATTTCCAGGCCAGGTGTGGTGGCACACACCTTTAATCTCAGCTGGGGCAAGAGGATCACAGGCCAGCCTGAACTGGAAAGACTCTGTCAAAAAAAACAAAGAAAAAGACAAAACAAAAGAATCACCACCACCACCACCAAAAAAAGCCAAGCGTGGAGACACACACTTGTAATTCCAGCACTCAGGAGGCTAAGACAGAATTGCCACAAATTCAAGAGCCTTGGCTACATAGTAAGTTCAAGACCAGTCTGAACTGCATAGTGAGACCCTGTCTTACTGAGGGCTGGTCAGACCCTCAGCTACCTTTTGCAGAGAATGATGAGGAATAAAAGGAGACAGAGATTAGTTTCAAGATATAAAGGGGGTGGGCCAGGGATTTAGCTCAGTGGTCTACCACCTGCCCCACAAATGCAAGAACCCAAGTTCGATCCCCGGTACCAAAAAAACAAAAAGATATAAAGAGAGGATCGGGAGGAGACCTGCCTGCAACAGACAGACTCAAATAAATCCCGAAGTTGGCTCACTTTTATTAGCCAGTGAGAAGCGCAGGGGGAGGGATAGCACACATTTCATGGAGCAGCAACTATAGAGAATGTGTGGATAAGGATTAAGTTAATGAGGAACCAGATTTTCTCTACACCCAAAGGCCTGTATTATCAGCAGATGCTGTCTTGCCTCAGGAGTGCCAGGTTATTGGCATTCTACCCATAGCCAGGTGACATGCCGCGTTCCACATACTTCCCTGTTCCCAAGGCAGGGTGACACCAACCTCAAGGCTGTGAGATCTGAGTTATGATCTGAGTTACATAGCCTAGTCCCCAACACTGTCTCAAAAAAAAACAAAACCATATATATATATATATATATATATATATAATTTTTAAAATTCCTTTTAAACATGAAAAGGTTTTTTTGTTTTGGTTTTTGTTTTATTGTTTTGTGTATGTGTGTGTGTTTTGGTAATGCTTGAGTTCAAACCCAGGGTCTTGCACATGATAGGTAACTGATCTCCTACTGAGCTAAGTCTCCAGCCATGAACATGAAAGTTTAAGTTGCTCATTAGATATACAAATGGGAATGGTAAGTAAGCAGTCATACAAGGGAACTCAGGGGGAAAGGTACTGGCTGGAGTGTATGAGTCAGCTTCTCTGTTGCTGAGACACAATACCTGAAACCCACAACTAAAGGAAGAGAGGTGTGGCTCACAGTTTCAGGAGGTTCAGTCCATGGCTGGCTCCAAGGCAGAAACATGACAGAAGGGCATGGTGGAACAGAGATGCCTGGTTCATGGTGCCAGGAAACAGAGCAGGGGAACAATGCCAAAGAGGAAGGGGCCAGGAACCAGATAAGAGTCCACAAGGTCACACTTCCATGACCCATGCAGACACACCCAGGCCTATGCTCCAGCAATTCCCTGACTGGCTCCCAAGCCAATCAAGGTGAGGCAAGCTTGACTCACACTGGAGATAAATTGGGGGTTGACTAGTAGATGGTATTTAAGCCATGGGAATAGTGAGGTTCCTATGGTGTTACCAGCGACATTACTGTTGTCATCTGAGGTTTTATGTTGCAGGTCAGACATTTTGACAGCCCTTACCTGTTGTACCATGAGAAGATCAAAACTAGTCGGGTGTTCATCCGGGACTGCAGCATGGTGTCTGTGTACCCACTGGTCTTGTTTGGAGGAGGCCAAGTGAATGTGCAGCTTCAGAGGGGAGAGTTTGTCATCTCCTTGGATGATGGCTGGATCCGTTTTGTTGCTGCTTCCCATCAGGTAAAGGGATAAGTGCTCTGTTCTTGAGGCTCAGGGCACGAGGGGCTTTGCTAATGTGAAGTGGAGGGCATTCCTTCAGGCTCAGGGAGTACAGAGCTGAATCAGAGGCAATGATGAGCCTGCAGTGGGACTCTGAGGAAGACTGAGGCTGAAGTGAGGCAGGTGGGGCCCTGCTAATCGGTGCAGGAAGCACATGGGGAGGGAAAGCCAGGCTGAGTTGGCGCTGGTGCAAAAGGATTAGGACAGAAGCTGGGAGGAGGGCCGGCCTTCCTTATGTTATACAGATAATGTGTGCTTATTATATTAAATCAGGGGCTGGGGATCTAGCTCAGGGATTCCGCCACCTGCCACGCAAGCGCATGGACCCGAGTTCGATCCCTGGTACCAAAAAAAAAAAAGCACTGGGGATGTAACTCAGTGTGAAGGCGCAGGGTTCAATCCCCAGTACAGGAAGATGAAAAAGAAAAAAAAAGTGAAAGCTTGGGCGTAGCACAGTGGTAGAGCACTTGCCTAGCATGTGCAAGACCCCAGGCCCGATCCCCAGCGCGTACCAGAAACGTAAACATCAGTAATCATAAGTGTGACATTTCCCTCTGATAAACATTCTCCCCTGTTGTTCCAAGCACTGTGATACTGCACCTTTCATTGTAGGTGGCTGAATTGGTAAAGGAACTTCGTTGTGAACTTGACCAGCTCCTCCAGGATAAAATTAAAAACCCGAGCATAGACCTGTGTACTTGTCCCCGGGGCTCCCGGATCATCAGCATGATTGTGAAACTTGTCACCACACAGTAGAGACTCACCCGAGAGGAGTGCTTGCTACTCACCTGGGAAGTCACAGCAGCACTTCTACCTCAGACTGAACACCTGAGCTGGGGCTGGCCCCGGGGGCCTTGGCGGGCTCCGCGCCCCGCCCCAACGAAAGGTGGCGCTCGCTCCCAGCACAATTTGGAGTGCCGGGGTGAGGCGGTCTCAACCCCACCCCACCCCCCACCCCCCACCCCCACCTGTCTTGTCTTCAGCTATTCTGGAGTGAATGAAGTTCACCTGATAACACAAAAGTGATGTTTGATATCATTGTTTTAACCTGTGTCTTCCTTGTCTCTTGCCTTTTATGATGTTTGTATATACATAATCTGTATCTTTCCTCCTGTTTTTTTATTGGGCATGAGAAGAAATAGTAAATTTTTTTTTCCTGTCATAATAAAAATTCAATTGAGAGAAGTTACAACAGAGAAAGAAAAACAAAAATTAAAAAATCATGTAGGTAAGAAAAATAAATTTCATTTTAGGCTATCGGCTATTGAGTAAACTTGATTTGTGAAGGGTTTTTATTTTTACTCATTAAAAGTCAGCTTAAGAGCTTGTTCCCCAGTACCAAAAGAAAAAAAAGTAAAGAAAAAAAAAGCCAGCTTAAGAAACAAACTTAATGAGTTCTGTTTGGGCACTAACATGCAAGCCGGTCTTCTCCCTAACACTCCTGTTAGAAGCAGACCAATCTTTGTGTCTTCATTCTCTAACTTCCCCATTTAAGAATCTTTTCTCTCTTTTATGAACTCTCCCAGATCTGGTGGCCATATTTCACTTCCTGAAGAAATCTTTTTTTTCTCCTTTTTTTCAGTGTTAGGGATTGAACCTAGGGAGTGCAAGCAACATCCCCAGCCCTTTTTATTTTTTTATTTTTTGGTACTAGGAGTTGAACTCAGGACCTTGTGTTTACCAGGCAGGTGCAGCACTACTGAGCTAAATCCCCAGCCCTCTTTTTGTTTTGGGGGGTTTTTTTTGGTACCGGGGATTGAACTCGGAACCTTGCACTTGTGAGGCAGGCGTCGGAACCACTGAGCTAAATCCCTGTCCCTTCAGCCCTCTTTTTATTTTTTATTTCAAAAACGGTCTTTCTAAATTGCCTGGGCTGGCCTCAAACTTTTGATCCTCTTGCCTCAGCCTCCCAAGTATCTGAGATCACAGGCATGCGTACCACACTAGGTGAGTTGCGTATTTTCAGGCATCATGTATGTTAATGAGTCACTAGCACTTTGAAAAACAAATACATTTGCAATTTCCCTAGGCATTTGTCAGTGTAGCCAAAGAGCTGAGTAGAAACTGTATTGTCAGACCCCAGCACAAGCACTGCAGAGTTCATATGCTAAGTAGAATTCAAGCTAATCAAAAACCACCTCATTGAAAGATGTTTACTTTTCAAGGTATTAGTTCAGTAATCTCAGGAATCTCCTAAAGTGATCATCATCAAGAGTGTTTAAGCCTCGGTGCATTTGAAGAACATGGACTCTAAGCGGTACTTTTTAAGAATTAATTCTTGTCATCACTGCGTATAGAAGCATCCATGTGCACGGCAGCCACAGAGACAAGTTCCCACCTGCTATTGAAATTCACCTCACACCGCAAAACAGCATGGCTGGGGCTTTTAGAAGAAATGAAGACAACTACATAAGCTCCTGAAAAATATTTTTTAGAACAAGTTTTGGCTCTGTGCTACTGTCTTGGAGCTCACGCTGTCCTAGCTAGAGCTGCCTGCCCAAGTGGACCAGCAGATGTTCACACAAGTCCAGTTTGCAGCAGCGCACACAGCTGGAGGGAGTTACAGTAACACTTTCCCCCCAAGGAAGCCAATTGTTGGGCTGCTTACTTGTAGCCACATAAACAGAGGCAAATCCTACCATTTCATCAGTGTGCCAGATGTGAAAAAGTTAGGGAAGGCTTATAGTACTAAGTAAGAAAACTACCACTTGGAAAACAAGTCTAACAGTAAAATTATGAGATAAAAATGAAAATTAGATCTTGACCACGAATCTGTCAGTATTTGAGAACTCACAATACAGAGCACCCCAGAGTCCCCACAACACAAAAACAGCGAATACATGGGCCAGGGATTTATCTCAGTGGTTCGGCCGCCTGCCTCACAAGCGCAAGGTCCCGAGTTGGAAAAAAAAAAAAAGCTAATAACAGTTTTGTTTTTGGTACTGGGGATCGAACTCAGGACCTTGTGCTTTCAAGGCAGGGGCCGGAACCACTGAGCTAAATCCCCAGCCCACTAATACAGTTGTGTCACAGCAAGTTCAGAGTGTTCTGGGGTGATAAGCTTCCTCCCTGTATTTTGGTCTTATAAATGGAAAATTAGACAAAAACTGGATGAACGGCTAATGATGATGAGTCATCAACATGGAGACTTTTTCCTATTTTCCAAATTATTCCTAATATGCCCGAGACTGGTCCTAGATAGGATTTGTAGCCAATCACTAATCTTTAAAGCACTTTAAACTCTTCGCTGTCTTAGCAATAATTTATATTACCAAAGAGCAGAAAAAAAGGTGTTTTGGGGGAATTTTTTCCTTGTCTTTTTTTTGTGGTATTGGGGATTGAACCAGGGCCTCATGCTGAACTATATCCCAACCTTTTATTTATTATCTTTATTTGATTTTTTTTTTTTTTGGTACTGGGGATCGAACTCCAGACCTTGCCCTTGTGAGGCAGGCGGCAGCACCACTGAGCTAAATCCAGGGCCCTTATTTATCATTTTTAAATTTTTGTATCTGTGAGCCCCTGGAAAGTAACTTTTAAATAATGGAATTCAGCCCAGTCCCACAACTACCAACAGGAGACTCATTGTTTAAAGTGATGATCTTGACATACTCCAAACACAAAGTTCATAAGTATGGTATTATAGTGGATAATTGCCTTTTTTTTTTTTTTTTTGAGACAGGGTCTTACTGTGTAGTTCAGGCTGGTTTGAACTCACTACGTAGCCCCAAACTCACGGCGATCCTCCTGCCTTAGCCTCCTGAGTGCTGGGGTTAATTGACATTTTCAACAAAAACACCTTGAGCAGATTATTATTTCTTTATGCAGAAATTCCAGTTATGGCTATCTCTATCCTAGGTTTTACTGAAAATTGCCTGAAGGAGTTCATTTTCCTTTCATGTTGAATGAACTCATACCACAGTGTATAGAGATTGTCCATGGCGAGTTTTCTTCTGCAATGATTATAGACAGAATCACAGCCCAAAAGAATCACTTGTGCCCTGAGATCCCACTTGGAGGAAGTCTGCCCTCATTCCATCCTTGGGTTTCAAATGTACAGTGACAACAATGTCTGTTAGCCTTGCAAATAAGAGAGATTAACTAAAACAAACACTGCACTCTGCTATGTATAAAGACTACAAAGAAGTTCCTCACCAGAGCAAATGTAGTTGCCCGGTTTTATTTTGTTTTTGTTGTACTAGGAATGGAAACCAGGGTTCCTGCTCTATCACTGAGCTACACCCCACCCCAGCCAAATGTAGTGGTTTTTTGCTTTAAACTAGTTGTTCTCAGTTGGGGGTAATTTTGCCCCTCCTCAAAAAAACACTAGCCAATGCCCCCCACTGTTGTTGGTTGTCACAATGGAAAGGGAGTGCTGTTAACATTAGCAGAGGCCCGGGATGCTGCTAAATATCCTACAAGGCACAGGGTGCCCCAACAGAAAGTCATCTGATCCAAATGTCAGTAGAGCCATGGTAAGTAAAACTCTCATTTTAATAAAAATGAGCTGGGTATGGTTGTGCACACCCGTCATCACAGCACTGGGGAGGCTGAGGCAGGAGGATCACTGGGAGTTCAAGGCCAGCCTAGGTTACATAGTGAGTTGAAGGCCAGCCTGAACTGCATAGCAAGACCCTGTCTCAAAAATAATTAAAAATAGGGCCAGAGATTTAGCTCAGTGGTTCTGCCGCCTGCCTCACACAAGGTCCTGAGTTCAATCCCCAGTACCAAAAAAAAAAAAAAATTAAATTATTCACAGAGATCTCTGAAAATGGAAATATATTTTGGACTACTAAAGTGGAAATCTCTGCAAAATCAACTCTAATAAACATGTATTGTGTGAATAAGAGCTTGTGTGTGATTATCAAGAATACAGAGAACTTAAGACATTGAAAAAATTACACGTACAAATGGGAAAGGCCATGCACAGGTGGACAGCGATAGTTTTACTTTAAAAGGATGCTCTCCCTTTACGTTTTTTGTTGTTTGTTCGAGACATGGTTTCTCTATGCAGTCCAGGCTGGCCTTGAACTCCCAGTGATCCTCCCGCCTCACTGAGTGCTGGGCTGACAGGTGTGTGCCACCATGCCCAGCCCTGTTTTGTTTTTTAAAATCGCCCATTCTTAAAATGTGAGGACCTGCTTTGTTTGTAATTGCTAATACTTGGCACCAACCACAAAACTGAAGTTGTCACACAGGCCAATATTAAGATGTTTAAAATCTCACACACACACACACACACACACACACACCCTTTCCTTATCTTCGGGTTAACTCAACGAAGTCCAGCCTAGTAGACTGTGGCCAAGATGCTCAAATACAAATAGGGTAGAAAAAAACAGTATACAGCTCTACAGGGATGTTCATACAATGTCTCAATCTGTATGAAGCCTAACAAGGAATCTTAATTTCCAGGTGCCCTATTCCTACTCCCATCATATGAACTGGGAAAATCAGTTTGTTTGAGGATGTGGTTATAGGTAAGCTTATGGACAGAATGGCAAAGACAGGCCGGGGATTTAGCTCACCGGCACTGTGCCTGGCTCACAAGCACAAGGTCCTGAGTTTGATCCTGGTACTAAAAAAAGTGAAGCAGAATGGCAAAGATGTGTTTATGCTCTCTAGAAAACAGATGTTTCCAACTCAGGGCCACACCACACAGTGGGGGCTCGGGGACTCTCCCAGAGGGAGACTAACCACTGAGTACAGACCTGGCCCCAAACCATCGGGATGGACACATCTCTGTTGATGCTGTGCTTGTCTCTGACACGCACCTGGGCACTTCCGCCTTCAACTCCAGTGTCCTCACTATTTCCAGTCCTTAGGTCAGTTCCAGCCTACTTTTCTGCAGTAGCATGGCTGAAACATGCAAGCTGATTACTTAACAAGAAAGCCAACTGTCTGGTGTATAACTAATGTGTGCTCCGTTGCTGGTCCGAAATCCATAGTGAGGTTACATGTAGGCTGATAATTTCAGTTAAACCAACACATTTAAGCAAGTCCTATGTGCCAGTCACTATGATAGAAACACAGCATACAAAGAGAAACAGAACAGAGAAATGCAATTTTATGTATTTGAGGGTTTTTTTAATGTGGAAAAGATATGTAAGTGTAAAATAGAAAAGTAGGCCAGAGTACAGTTTTGAGGGTAATTGCTTCTTTATACAGTATAAGTAATCTAGAGGGGTTTTGGGTTAAACATTTTCATAAAGCAATAAAACATTAAAAAAGAAAGCAAGAAAAAAGGGCTTGATGTTTTATA